GTCAGTTTTTGTAGACTTCCCCTTTTAAAATTTCCATGGATTTCGATATATGTGTCATACTTTTCTACATGTACTAGGGTATTGTTTACAATTTTAGACAATATAAGATTACAAATTACATGTACTCGGGAATTGTTTACACTTTGAAGGAATATAGATGTACAAATTATATGTACTCGGATATTGTTTACACTTTTAAGGCATATAGATGTACAAATTACATGTACTCGGGTATGGTCTACACTTTTAAGGAATATAGATGTACAAATTACATAAACTCGTGTATGGTCTACACTTTTAAGGAATATAGATGTACAAATGACATGTACTCGGGTATTGTTTACACTTTTAAGAACATAGATGTACAAATTACATGTATTCGGGTATGGTCTACAATTTTAAGGAATATAGATGTACAAATTACATGTACTCGGATATTGTTTACACTTTTAAGAACATAGATGTACAAATGACATGTACTCGGGTATTGTTTACACTTTTAAGAACATAGATGTACAAATGACATGTACTCGGGTATGGTCTACACTTTTAAGGAATATAGATGTACAAATTACATGTACTCGGATATTGTTTACACTTTTAAGAACATAGATGTACAAATTACATGTACTCGGATATTGTTTACACTTTTAAGAACATAGATGTACAAATGACATGTACTCGGGTATGGTCTACACTTTTAAGGAATATAGATGTACAAATTACATGTACTCGGATATTGTTTACACTTTTAAGAACATAGATGTACAAATGACATGTACTCGGGTATTATTTACACTTTTAATGAATATATATGTACAAATTACATGAATTCGGGTATTGTTTACACTTTTAAGGAACATAGATGTACAAATTACATGAACTCGGATATTGTTTACACTTTTAATGAATATAGAAGTATAAATTACATGTACTCGGATATTGTTTACACTTTTTAGGAATAGAGACGTACAGATTACATGTACTTGGATATTGTTTACGCTTTTAAGGAATATAGATGTACAAATTAAATATACCTGTTTATGTTTCTTATCGTTTTAGGTTTGTCAATATTACACGAGTTGTCCATCATTCTCGTGACATTGAATAAATAAGTATATCTTTTACAAACATAGTTTTTCAATTCCTTTACTTTTAATGCGAGATAATTTTCTCCGTCACTGTTTCAAGTAGCATGTTTGACAGAACTAGAAATAACAGGAATAACGTACTATAACGATATCCAATTTAAACAATCTGAACACAATATTTCAGAACTGTGATTTCTCATGATTTCATTGTTTTGATATGAAAGAAACAATTTACTGCGAATAGAATGATACAAATGCAAAATAAAATAATGAGGAATTATAAAAATCTAAAAAGGAAACACATGATTTGGGAAAACAAGAATAACTTTCATATTCCTGCACAATTTCACTTCGCCTAGTTGTTCCAGGTACTTTCAGCACGCCTTTTGTACAACTCGTGTGACAATCTTTTTATTGTTTCACTTACGATAGTGAAAAACCCGCCGAGACAATTTGAAAGTAAAAAGTAAGTCACCTTGAAATTTACAAAACGGTCTCTACTTGTTTACTTTGACATCCATATTACTGATGAAAAGTTATTCTGAAACAACAAATATATCATGTTTCAGTACCTGATAAACTGTAACTTGAACTATACGTGAGGATGCATATTGTATGTACTTGTTTTTATAGGCAAAGTCTTGCTCCGTCTATATTTTCTTTTAGTAATTACTTGTAGTGTTATGTATACTAATGTATATCTTTTCGTGGTTTTTCTGTTTGATATGGTATTGTTTTTCTTCGAATTATGAATTAATATTCACCTTGGTATCTTCTGTCTGATGTAGTAAAATTTTAATTCTTTTTTTTACGTTATTTATGCCAACCCTATATATTTAGAATATTATCATTTTCACAATGTATGTAAAAGAAGTATAACAAAAATACCGAACTCCAAGGCAAATTCAAAAAGGGAAATTCATAAAAACTGACAAAATCAAACGCTATCAATCAACGGAACAACTGCCATATTCCTCACTTGGTAAAGGCATTTTCCGAAGAAAATCGTGGGCTAAACCTAGTTTTAGAGCTAGCTAAACCACCCACTTGTATGACAGTTTATAGTTTCGTTTTATTGACAAAATAAGTTGAACCAAAACAGACATATTAGGATAATCGGACAATATTTGGGATCAAGCAGCAAAAACTGTCAAGAAATCGGCTACGTCCCGAATTACCTTTATATCCGATGTTGACGTCATATCGGCGACGTCGCCTTAGCTTTGATTAGTAACAAGTAAAACGTCAAACTGAATAGCTGTTGTTTGCTATGTCAGAGTCAGATATTAAGACATTGTATCTAACAAATCCTACATAACAAACATACAACACATCTGACTAAAAAGAAACATACAAATCAATTTAAAAAAAGACGCCAACAAAAAGAAGTAGTAGATAGTAAATTTTAAATTTGACAATGACGTCAACAAAAAATATTTTGTCGTTGAAAGTACATACCGTATATAGTTTATGCACTTTCTCGATAAAGTAAAAATAAAGTAAATAGAAAATAGAAACAACACTGTAAAAACCTTAGTGTCCGAATCGCACCTCAGGACCAACCTGCACAAGGAACGCCAATGACGTAGTCTTTGTAGCAGCTGCAATCTCTTGAATATCATATTTTGACAAATGTATACTCCATACGCGAGTGAAGTTGGTTTATTGCTGCTAAGGTGGGGAACATTTATAATTTTGAAATTAAAATCGTCTCGTTTGCCATAGATTTTGGTACTGAGATGACTAGCTTCTTTGATCTAATTGTTTTTAGAAGCGTCTGAAGGAACTCCGACTCATATGAAAAAAATCGGCCAGGAGAGGTGCACAGTTTGTTCCAATAGGGATGCTGACAATCTGCCGGAAAATTCGACCTCCAAATTCAACTAATATGAAGAAATGAGAAACTAATGCATACTGATCACATGTTCTTGGGTATAGCATGTTTATATTCGGGCTTATTTTCGATAAAATATGTGGAATCATATCCCAAAACAATAAATGTGTAGCGTATAGTACCATTTGTATGGATGAAAGCATTGTGGGTTATTTCTTTAAGACGGATTTTTAATTTTTCATTTGTTATGGTGGTGTGAAGGGTGGAAAAATCAAATGTTTTGATAGAATTTATTTCAGAAAATTACCGAGATTTAAAAATTTTCAGAAGTACTTTTAAGTTCTTAAGAATCCACATATGGTTAATGCCACTACGAGAGTAAACAGTGTCACAGTATTTCTGTACGCCCTCTTTCACTGCGTTCATATTTTTGGTTAATCTAACGGACAATTCCGTTGTAGAAGATGCAGATGAGCCGGCAATGTATCGTTGTTTGTACAGAGCCTTGTGAAGTTTAGGTATCCAATACAAACAAGGTAAGTCCTCAGATTTGTTGTTCATTGAAATATTCAAGTTTTACCTTTTCTAGTTTAGCCCATTTTCTGGCGTAATCCTCAACGGATTCCATTATTATTTTAAAGTTATGATTCCAATTGATGTGTTGTGGCTCTCTAAATTTAGGACCATGAGATATCCCTTTCCGGAGATGTTCATGTTCATTTATATTTAGATCACCAGAAATTACATGACCAGAAGACTTGTAAATATATGGAGAGTGAGAACAGTCACATGAAAGAGGGTTTTTCAAGTATTCTTCTAAATCAAGATTTTTTAATGCTTGTTCATATTTAAATATTTTAGGTGCAATGGTTTTGATGTAACTATGGGAGATAATAAAAACAGACTGATTTTAAAAATAAAGTGGAATTTTAGATGTTACTCATTTGTGATGAAGAACGTTGCTGATATCGATAGCATCGATTCTGCTATTTAAAAATTTGAAGATAAAGTAGCCCACACAAGGTAAACTCTATTCCGTAAAAAACATTATAAATAGAGCCTTTGTCAGCTATATAAAATAAGGCATTAGTGGTGTACCGATGTTCAAATGTATTAAGAATATATCAATCAAGGTTAAAAAACAAACACTGAGGGAATTATTTGAACACTAAATGAGATGAGACCGAGTGTGTTGACAGGATAGGCGTCCCCGGCTATGTATATATCACCTGCCATGAGAATCCTCACTTAGTCAAAATGTCGCAATCGAGATTGACACAATCGGTAAAATTACATATCGGACGACTATTCTGGTATTTAAATATCTAAGACCACAAAAGCCTGTCGCTACTAAATTGAGACAAAGACACATCGCATCGGTCAAGCAATTCATTGTGATGACCGTTAAACGTTTGTTGTGACGATTTCAGTGATTCTTCCTCATAACTCTGTTGAAGCAGTTTTTTGGTGTAAGTTGAAAAGTATTAACAGAATTATCAAACTCCAAGGTAAATTCAAATCAATGAAACCTGAATAAATCAAACTAACGGAACGAATGGAACACAACTGTCATATTTCTGACTTGGTACAGGCATTTTCCTTAGAATATGGTGGGTAAGGCCTGGTTTTATTACCCTGGCTAACCCTCCCACTTGTATGACAGTTGTTTATAGATTGGTCCGTTATATTGACAAAATTATTCCAATTGTTAAACATACAAAAATTAAATGTGCAGTTTTCGTCAATAAGACAGCAAGAAAACAAAATAACAACACTAATAACTAAAAGATAGCTGGCTGTTTTCCTATGTGGTGATGTGATGTTTTGTCGAATATTGTTTCCTCTGTGGTGATAGTAATGCGTCTTTCTTTACGTTAAGAATCGTGCTCTTTCCTTTATCTTTAATCTTTCTCGTTAATATATAATAAGGGTAAAAGTAAAACATAGTAATAATCTTATGGCTAAATCGTTCAGTAGGAATCATGGGACTCTCAGTATATAGAATTATTGGAATCATCTGTGCTAAAATGAATCGTTGTATCTATCCGAGAAAATAATTAGAAATAACCACAGAATCGTTTATTAAAAACTAATTTTATTCAACAAAATATAACTGATAAATAAATAAAATAACCACCTTGCTGTTATAGAACTAACAACATACATTAACACCTGAGCCAAGCAATCATTTGATCTGTAGAGAGTTCGAGAACTTTCTAGCTACAACATTATGGCGATATACGGTTTTACTAGTCTGTTGTCATATTGATATACTTGTAAGTTAAAAAAATATTCGAACATAAAAGTCAGATCTTTTCTGTGTTATTGTTGCATATTCAAACATTTACAATCCATTCGGTGTCAGTTATGGAATGTCGTCTATCAACGTTAATAATGATATCTGGTAAATCGGATTCGACCGTTACCAGAGCTTTTTGATTAAATCTTTGCCTATGTTTTTCTGAGGTAGTTATATAAATTATTGGGACCAGGGTGATAGCAGCACAGAGGAATGTACTACCGCCGTATATGTAAATTATACCATCATTCATAACCATTTCTGTTAGACCACCTGCAAATAGAACACAAATAGTTTCTTTTTATCACGAAAACATACTCATCGTTATAGTCAATCGAAATCATCTTTTATTATTTTGCATTAGTATCAAATATTTATAAAACAATCCGTGTAAACTTATCGAACCTTTAAACAAACTTATTAGTAAAGGTTATCTTACTAATGTTGTAATAAGATCTTTGAATATTGTTTTCATTGGCACAAACATCGATTTTGTCATCAACAAATTAAAACATAACTAAATTTGTATTCTTTTCGAATTGTTTTTTTTTCCGGATGTATATATACACATCCACGTTTATTTTCTATTAAGAAATTGTTTTATCTATACACATGATACATAACATCATACATATTTATTATAAGGTTAAATCCTAACTATCCTACTGCCTGTCGTTACTTTTATTTTGGCATTGCACAAGTCATGTCTTCTTTGACTGTTCATGGCGTTTAAACACTAAATCCCTGCCTGGGATGTGTTTTAATTGATTTTAGTCTCTGATGCATGATTTTTTATTATTAATTGTTTTTGGCTTTTAACTAGCTTTCAGTAAATGCGAGTACTCTCAAATCGTACTTTCGTGTTAATTTGACCTGTTGACAAAATTTGTAATGCATTTCTGTTATTCAATGTTTACTTATTTGGTGTTATCTCGTATAGACGAGTATTTAGTATGACGAAAAAATTTTCACTTCTGTAATCGTACTACGAATAACAAATTTATTTTGTAAAAAATGTTTCTGTACTCCTAACAACAAGATTATTATATTTAAATTTACCTGTGTACGTTTCTTTATTTAACGCCATTGTGTCCAAGGTTAAAGTTGTCTTTTTGACATTGAAACATCTTTTTTATTTATATTGTGTCATAGATCAAACTTATTCGTTCAGGGTATATTTACTTGTTTTTGTGTATTGTCTTTTTGATCGAGTTAAGCCATTTCAATTGATATTTCATTGAGTGTCTTTTTATGTTGTAATGTTATACCACTGTTTCAGGTTAGGGTGAAGGTTGGCGCCTGTTAAAACGTTTAAAACCCGCTGCATTTTTATGCACCTGTCCCAAGTCAGGATCCTGTTGTTCAGTGGTTGTCGTTTGTTGGTGTGGTTCATAAGTGTTTCTCGTTTCTCGTTTTTTATATAGATTAGACCGTTGGTTTTCCTGTTTGAATTGTTTTACACTAGTCTTTTTGGGGTCCTTTATAGCTTGCTGTTCGGTGTGAGTCAAGGCTCCGTGTTGAAGGCCGTACTTTGAACTATAATTGTTTACTTTTTACACATTGTGACTTGGATGGATAGTTGTCTCATTGGCACTCATACCACATCTTCTTATTTATATTTCATAATTATTCACGAGATCTGAAAAGGTTTATCTGAAAACACTTCCATTGTTATTCAAGACATACTAAGTCTTTAAATTGCCTTGATTTCCCCAACTTTTTTCTCACATTGTTCCACTCGAAATGTTACAGGTATCGATGTATCTTCATATTTTTGTTTCCCTCGTCAAATGTGCTCACTTCAAAGAAGTTCTTATCTTTACTTTGATCTGATATTTCATTTTTTTATTGAAAGTTTCCAAAATGTGAACGTTATATGAAGATATTTCAATTAGATCCCAATTTCTCATCTTGTCCCACAATTTAAAGATATATACTGTACACGGGATTTGCATGCTTGCTGTCTAAAATGCTAAAATATCCGAATTATAAAACAACAACCAATAAATATTTCCATGAAACCATCGAATCTACAAAACTTAGGAATATTAGGAGTTAGCGACTTTTATAAAACGTTATGGGTGTAGGTTTTTTTCATATTTATAGTTAGTTCCCTCACAATGATGAAGAACAAATTCCAATATGAGTAAGAAGAAAATAACACATTGTTATTCCTATCAATGATCATACCTGCAACAGGTGTACCAATAATACTACCGAGACCTTGAAAAAGTAACGTTATACCAACACTATTACAAAGTGATTTTGGTAGTACTATATCAGGTAATATACTCGTTGACAAACACACAGTGCCTCCTGAAGAATAAAAAAAACTTCATTAAGGTATATAGGTAGAATATCAAGGTATATAGGTAGAATATCAAAATATTTAGGTAGAATTATATTTTTGAGTTTGCCTTCGAGAAATATATATATGTTTGATATATTCCAAACAAACTTGTCTGTCGATATTTGTGTCTTTAGGAATTAAGTGTGTCGTAGGGTTGCTAACTTACTTAGAAAATTGTTGAATGACCGATATGAATCCATGAAGTATAAAACATTATAACTCAAATAAAAGAGAGGCTAAAGATACCAAAGGAACATTCAAACTCATAAGTCGAAAATAAACTGACAACGCCATGGTAAAAATAGGACCAACAGACAAAGAACAGTACATAAAACACAACATAGAAAACTAAAGACAGAGCAACACAAACCCCACCAAAAACGGGGGTAAGCTTAGGTGCTCCGGAAGGGTAAGCAGATCCTGCTCCATATGTGGCACCCGTCGTGTTGCTCATGTTAGTACAAACCCGGTAATAAGTCTAATTCGTTAGGTCACATTCGGGGAAAAGGGGACAGGATTGTAGTTACGACATTTGGAACATATCCGTTGTCATCTGTGAAACGGATATTCCATAACGGTCAACCAACTCGTGATGGCGTCCGTAAAATTTACAAAGTGATGATTTCAACTTCAGCACTTGGAACTCTTAGTTTAACAGCTTCCTTGTGTGCGGCAACCCTCTATCAAAGAAATCATGATAGGAAATACAAGCCCTGAAATATCGTATCAACTTGGAGATATATACTACGTATGCAGGCGCTGCTGGAATAAGTATATGATAAATTAAGCTATCTACAGTCATATATTTACATTAAATATGGTGAATTTCTAAACAAAGTATAGAACTACACACTAATAACATTTGTTAACGATGGATAAAAGTAAAAACTGTGATATGCAAAAGTAATACGACAGAAGTGTTCATTTGGCTGGTTTGTACTTCGATTGATTGATTGTTGGTTGCTTGACATTTAGTGGCGTTTGAACTTCGACGTAATACGAAATTGCTATAGTTCGATAAGAGAAAAGGATTAAACAACTATTGAGAATGGAATATCGCTTGATCTCCTGTCATTTAATTTCAACAACAATGATAAACTCATTAAATGCTCGCAGTGCGAGTTTATTATTAGATGAAAGTGTACTAATTCGAGATATCAATTAACATCTTATTTTCACTTGTTTTGAAACCTATAAATCTAAAGTGCAAATGATATATGATACAACAAAAAGACTTAACTAGACTCCAGCAAAAATGCACAAATTAGTTGACAATAAAAAAAAGTTTCTGTTAAAGGAATGATCGATTCATTACAGTAAAATATATATCGTCATTATTTTTTGCCTAACGAAAATGGATATACGTTAAGTGTAAAGATACATGTATGTTTATTCGTTTTTTTTAATTGTAAGTATAAATATGTTGAAAATACTTATACAACGCAAACGCATACCATGCCATCATACATGTAAGTCTCGATACTTTTTTTTATATTTAATCATATAAACAATTTCATTTTCTAAAATGAACTTAATAGTTTAATTCATAATCATAACACTCTTAATATACTACTACATAATTACCTGAGGTAACTCCAAATATGGCACATGCAATAGCAAGAAAATAAAACTCTCTCCAAATCTGCATCATTAAAATAGATATTCCACAGACAGTTAGTATGAATGAATACAGCACTATTTTATGTCTATAGAACGTTACAGCCATCCATCCAATAAACGGTCTGCCTAATGACGATGAACAACCAATCATTGATATAAGCCATGGAATATTGGTCTCTTCAATTCCATAATGTGCCGCCGAGTTTGGAAGAAATGCAAACGGTACATAAAACCCCATTGACGACAAGGTGTTTGTAATAATACAAAAAGCAAACGCTGGAGTCTTTAGAAGGTCAATATCCATCATATCGGACAGTTGTTTACTAAAGCTAAATATTTGACCTGTTTTAAAAAGAGAAATATATGTCTTTAAAAGGTGTATTGACAACTTGACCGTTATGGAATATATGTTTTACTTACATTAGCAACACGACGGGTTCCGCATGATGATCTGCTTACCATTCCGGAGATCCCGAGATCACCACTGGTTTTGGTGGGGTTCGTGTTGGTCAGTCTTTAGTCTTCTTTATTGTGTTTTGTATACTGTTGTTTGTTTTTTGGTCTTTTTTTTTTATTTTTGCCATGGCGTTGTCAGTTTATTACCGACTTATGAGTTTGAATGTCCCTTTTGTATCATTCGCCTCTCTTTCATACAGTCTTTTGATTTGAAATAAAAAAAAAAAAAATTGTAATGGAACACTTTTTGTGACGTATGTTTTGATTAGATAATAATTCTGTATATTGAATAGAAAGAGCCAACAGGATTACATTGCAATATTTGAGGGTATTACATTTTGCTTTGATGGTCGCTGACACTCAATTTGCACACTCACCAAGTCATATATGTATACACTCAAATCTTCATATACAACACTGTTATCTTTTATAATTAGTTTCTTTAAAACTCAGTTTCTTAAGATAAAATACTGCAAGGAGTTGAGAGATGCATTACCATGTTTAGTTCATCTTCTGAAGACTGCGGGTTTTAATTGGACGTGAGATGTATTGCATTCATTGTTTGTATTTTAACTTTAAATCATGTTTATTTATTGATCATGTGTGTATTGACTGTTATTAACAAACCTTGTTTTGGTCGCTTTTGAGAAAATGTTGCTGCTGTTATCTGTACATTTAATGCAATTGCGGCAGATATCATAAGAGTTCCTTGGTACCCGTAGTTCTTGAGACAGAAGTCAATTAGAGGTGAGAATATTATATTTCCAATTCCTGCTCCAGATAAAACAATACCAGTAGCTAAAGGTAATTTCCTGTCGAAGAACTCATTTAATATCAGCAGTGAAGACGTTATTGTTAAACCGTTTCCTATACCTGCAGAAACAGAATTATCATTTCATTAACAGGACAATGCCAATGTAATCATTTACGCTCACTAACACATTCGAGTGAGGTGAATCTTTTACATTCTAATATTTCAAGTCCTTGGTATAAAGATAATTATCTGCATTTAAATGTGATACAGTAGTGTAAAAACATTGCTTATTTACCATATCTCATATTATATTACATTAGACCGAATAATCTGTCTCTTCGTGTATATTTTTGACATTTCATATTTCCTTTTTATACGACCGCAAAAAAATTTTTGTGGTCGTATATTGGTATGACGTTGGCGTCGTCGTCGTCGTCGTCGTCGTCGTCGTCCGAAGACACATTAGTTTTCGCACTCTAACTTTAGTTTAAGTGAATGGATCTCTATGAAATTTTACCATAAGGTTCAATACAACAAAAGGAAGGTGGGGATTGATTTTGGGGGTTATGGTACCAACAGTTAAGGAATTAGGGGCCAAAAAGGGGCCAAAAATAAGCATTTTTGTAACTTCCAGACATAACTTGTGTGTAAGTGTATGGATCTCTCTAACATTGTATCACAAGGTTCCATATCACAAAGGGAATGCTGGGATTGATTTTGGGGGTAATTGCCTCCACATTTTAGGAAGTAGGGGCCAAAAAGGGGCCAAAAACAAGCATTTTTCTAGTTTCATGACAATAACTTGTGTGTAAGTGTATGGGTCTTTATGAAATTGTACCACAAGGTTCCATATCACAAAGGGAATGCTGGGATTGATTTTTGGGGTAATTGCCTCCAAATTTTAGGAATATGGGGCCAAAAAGGGGCAAAAAACAAGCATTTTTCTAGTTTCCAGACAATAACTTGTGTTCAAGTGTATGGATCTCTCTGAAATTGTACTAAAAGGTACCATACCACAAAGGGAAGGCTGGAATTGATTTTGGGGGTAATTCCCTCAAAATTTTAGGAATTAGGGGTCATAAAAGGGCAAAAAAACAAACATTTTTCTAGTTTCAGGACAATAACTTGTGTGTAAGTGTATGGATCTTTATGAAATTATACTGCAAGGTTCCATATCACAAAGGGAAAGCTGGGTTTGAGTTTAGGGGTAATTGCCCTAAACATTTAGGAATTTGGGGCCAAAAAGGGGCCAAAAAACAAGCATTTTTCTAGTTTCCAGACAATAACTTGTGTTCAAGTGTATGGATCTCTCTGAAATTGTACTGCAAGGTACCATACTACAAAGGGAATGCTGGGATTGAGTTTGGGGGTAATGAATCATAAGGGGGTTCAAAAAATTAGGGGGGGGATTTTTTTTTTCCTTTTTTATTCTTTAAAATTTTCCATTTTAAATTGGTTATTTCTGATTTATATATAAAAGCAAATAATAATGATATGGTTTGAATAGGTAAATTAAATTTTTTTTAGTTCTTAGACCACATTCATTCTGTGTCAGAAACCTATGCTGTGTCAAATATTTAATTACAATCCAAATTCAGTGCTGTATCAAGCTTGAATGTTGTGTCCATACTTGCCCCAACTGTTCAGGGTTCGACCTCTGCGGTCGTATCAAGCTGCGCCTCAGCGGAGCATTTTATTATCATTTGAATTTTTTTTTTTAACACGTGTTCAACAAAAAAAAAAATAAAAAAATAAAAAAGGTCAAAATGATGAAAATAAAATATGGGAAGGGTGAAATATGGACACAGGAGACAGAAAAATTCGGTCTAATATTACATTCACTTGAACTATTTTGGTGGTAAAGATGTTTCGATTAAAGATACAAAACAAAATAGAAGTGGCAATTATAAATTCATTTGTCAAAGGAACATTTACAAAACCATTTGCAAAAAAGAAAAGAATTCAACATATTTCCGTAAAACACAAACTAGATGAACAAGCGAGATGAACTTCCGGCGTTTTTTCTTCACTAGTGGCATTCATTGTGATCAACCAATATGGAAATTTAATGATAAAGCATCCTACGTTACAGAGTTAGATCATTTCTCTTGTCTAACCGGTACATATCAATTCTTTGCTTGTATCATTTAATGTAAATAAGAACAGTTTTTACACAACGTATATACCGGTCCATGGACGATTGATACAACCTTGACCGTCACAAATAAAATAAATGTTTTACCAATCCAGTCGTTTAACTGAAGCTAAACCAACACTAACTCCTCTTAAAGCTGGTGTGAACTCATGTGTTCTGGGAGGTACGGAAATTCCATCTCCATTAGTGGCATTCGCCGTGTTGTTCCTGTGAAGTTAACATCCCGTGACAAGTCATATTTGTAACAGGTCAATGAAGTTTAGAGCACACCTTGGATGTTAACATCCCATGACAAGTCATATTTGTAACAGGTCAATGAAGTTTAGAGCACACCTTGGATGTTAACATCCCGTGACAAGTCATATTTGTAACAGGTCAATGAAGTTTAGAGCACACCTTGGATGTTAACATCCCGTGACAAGTCATATTTGTAACAGGTCAATGAAGTTTAGAGCACACCTTGGATGTTAACATCCCGTGACAAGTCATATTTGTAACAGGTCAATGAAGTTTAGAGCACACCTTGGATGTTAACATCCCATGACAAGTCATATTTGTAACAGGTCAATGAAGTTTAGAGCAATTACAAATAGGACAATTTAGAAGGCGTATACAATTTCGTGTTTTTTTCATCTTTCGTATTTCGCGTTTTTCCTGTTTGTCTGTTCGTCTTTTTTTTTGGTCATGGTTTTTTTTATTGTTAATTTCAATATCTTCAAATTTCATGTCATAATATAAAACTTAATTTAACTTTTTATTAGAAGAATTAATGATAAGATGTCAGTGGAGTGAAACTAGAACGCAAAACAAACCGCAACGTATTTTTATGGTTTAAGAAATGTTGCATCATATGAAGACGCATAGCTGTGTTAATATGGTTTCTATACGACATATAATATATGTTGCATTTTTTTCTCGCTAAAATTACTGACAATCTTATACGTTTTTAGAAGGTAAATCAACTAAAATCTTGAACATCGTGTTCTCTAAACGTTTGATAGTTTAACCTCATGATATGAAACATGAATCCGTGACCTAAAGGGAATAAAACTAGAGAAGGAAAAAAATATGCCTTACCTACTACAATTCCCAGTGTTACATAGAGAAGGTTAACTGTACTAACAAAAGCACTTAGGAGGTATCCAACAAACTGTAGACATCCACCTACTATTACTATCCGTCTACAGCTGAATAGACTTGAAACAGATGATACAAATGGTCCTAAAAATATATATACATTTTTTAAATTATCCTATTTTATTATTCTTTATTGATTTTTGTTGTCTTTTCGTTACGTTCCTGTTTTTCATAGTTTTTGCCTCGAGTGTTTCTTGTAAAATTTATTCTAAAAACGCGTGTCTTGGGCACAGACATCGACGTCATATGGTTTTAGCCAACACTATGCCGTTAGTAATGTAACTATAAACTGCAACTACCCAAACAAATAAAACATTTTTTTTCTGGTTCTTTTGTTTTTTATGTGCTCTTAAATGTGTCTGTCGTGTGCACGTGAACTGCGACCATTACGTACTATTTTCAATAATATTCAGTACTGGTTTTGTTGTGTTCCTTTTACAGAAGGTACTAGTATGTCCCTGAGTTTTGATGTAAAACATGTATCTTGCATAACTGACAAATGTTGGAAATAGGGGACATAATATTGTATGCTTATCATACTGTAATTTTATCGTCGTAATTATTCAATTAAATCTATAGTTATCTCGAATCAATTGGCCCTGTTCAGCATTTCTCATCGAAGTAGCTCTGTACACACCATGTTTTACAATAGATTAATCTAAAAGTTACATTTTACCAAAATAACGAACAAGTTAAAATTCTTATCATGTATTGCAACAATAAGTCACAAAACAAAACTCCCTAAATGGCTTGAGCTGGACTATTTTCGAAGTACATAATACAAATCTAGATTGAGATCTAAATCTAAAGTGGTTCAACACTCAGACACAAATTTATATATTTTTAATTTACGAAGCATTTTATCATTGTATCATGTATGTTTGTATGATTGCAGTATTTAAAACGCCAGAACCATTTGATGAAGTTTCAAATTAAATCTCGTTTCATTTCTATATACCAATGTTAATTTGAATTGATTATCGTTTGTTTAATGCGCAGTGGTACTAAAGACTAGGATTGTAAATTTCAACGACAAAATAAAAAGGAAGGCTGTCGACTTTAACCTAAAATTCCGTCATATGTCATCTAGAAAAACCTTGTAGATTCGAAAATCTATCGTTTTCCACACAATGTACTTTTATAATTTTGAGTTTAGAATATTACTTTTTTTCTAATCACAAGGTCATTCTTTTAAATTTTTCATATATTTTTTTTTTATTCACTCATAACAACACTTTAAATCACTTCTTCTTTCAATGATTTCAAAATAAATTTGACTATTGAATTTTTCGCGGGTTACATGCTTCAATAGCACACCAAAATCCATATTCTTTATTTGTGATTTACTGACACTTGGATATGGTTCACAACAGTAAAAAGATGGGGGAAAAAGAAGAAAAAAGCTCGTAGTCAAATGAGGTATTATTCGTTTTTAAACTGTTCAGATATTACAGATTTTACAAACTGATTTACGAGAGTCAATGTTCAGTTATATAATAATAATACAATTTCATTTTGAACAGCTATAAAATGTAAGATTTGAATTTGCCTCTCATCCTTTTGAAAATATATTTATTCTCTAAAAAAATCTAAATTTTGTTATTTTGTTGAAAACAACGAAATATTTTAGCTAAAGCACTTAAAATCGCACGTTTTAATTTGAAAGGGTTGACTTTTATGTAAAGACAAAATATATATACTAGTCAACAAAAGTAACGATACACAAGTTTGAAGTCCAATTTATCATAAAATATGATAAATAGGAAAAACTGTTAAATTATCCGATGAAAAACATTTATTTGCAAAGCAAATGCGTATGATTAAAAGAATCTGACCAAATTGGAAAGTGAGAAAACACCGTGTTATTGAACACAGGGGTCAAATTTATTTTGCGGATAATGATGACAAAAGTCGGAACTTAATTTCGAAGATGAAAAATAAGTGTTCAAATATCTGCAAAGGTATTCAAAATTTTAAGCAGACCATGTTTAAATTAAAAGTTTTAAGTTCTAATATCGATTTTTGAATTTTTGGGTGAAAATACGATTTTTGAAATAACAAAAATTGCAAAAAAAAAATGTTCGCGTATTTGCCTTAAATCAATGGTTTTGATAATAAAATAAAACTCTGTAAATTTTAGACCAATTGTGCATTTTTTTACCTCGGTACAGTGTATCCAATTTCATTATATATGGAAAATGCATTGCCTTGTATCGTTTGATTTGTTGACTAGTATACTTTCAAAATGAAAGTCTAAATTTGACATGTTAACTGCAATATTAGACTACCTCTTTATCTCTCATGTGAGTTAAAGCTTTGTTTCAATATCATACAGACAGTGGAGTTAAAAGATTAAAGGAGTCTGAGGAACACTACTGACATAGTTTACTTAACTGTGACTTTCCTAGGACACAGTTCAAAGGATCATCCTCTAAATGTCTTACCAATCATTTAAATCTGGCCCTTCAAAATTCCTAGTTTCAAAACTATAAAAAGTTTTTATCTACAACAGAGGAAATCAAATTCGTTAAAATATTCAGTATCAAAATATGATTATTATCCACCTTCTCTGTGCCTGCATCAGCTCTTCTGTATATCACGATTTTGTGTGATCAAATACACCAGCCAGGACAATACAGGAAATTCGACAAAGGTTTTCATATGTCTTATCTTTTTGTTTGTTTATTTGACAACACGTGTCATTTCGTGACCATGGACATTTACCATTGCTATACCATGCAAGAACTTTACTTTTTAAATTGGCTCAGACATTCACATGCACTCAAACTTCTCTCCATAGAAAAAGTATATAAGTTCTATTCCGTATTTGATATTTAGATATTCCACTGTTCTATGATGGTGTCATGCGCTGTGACATCTATATTATAATCACAAGTTTTTTTTATTATTTTGTCCGTATCTTATTTACCAACTTAAACAGTTAACCTGCATTTTTTTATATACTCCTTTATCAACAATTTAAGCTATCATTCCTTTTGGATTTACATGCATGACTTTAGATGAATGAATAGCAGGAGATATCAACCTGTCGAGTTGACATGTTGTAAAAATGCGTGAAATTGTATATTTTAGCATTTGCTATACTTTTTATGTCGTGTTTGGTATCATTATTTGTCATGAGTAACTAAGTTTCAACATTTTTATGAAAAAATATTTCAAACTTTTGATATCAAACACGACATAAAAAGTAGCAAATGCTAAAATATACAATGACAGACTACTAGAGTCTCGCTCTGTTTTTGGAGTTCACGCGATTCCTCCCTCGCCCATGAATGCCTCTTAAAAACTACCTTCACACTTTTTAACATATTTAATATGCGATGTCTTGACATTTTTTATTTTTTTCTCATTTATTCGAAACGAGTTTCATTTGAAGCGAACAACAACGTGAATGTTCAAAGTCAAGTTTCAACTTCTTAAACGCCTTAGAGATATTTGTTTCCTGCTATAAAAAACAATTGGATGTGGCATGATTGCCAATTTTGAGTACGTCTTAATAAATTATCTTTTTTTAAGAATTTTGTTGTGTGTTTTGACATTCAGATAAAATTCTTTTGATTCAATATTGTACTTACCCATTAAACAGGCAAGTCCAGTTTGCATTGATCCTATCCATTGTAGATTTTCTTTCCCAACGCCCCAGTTTTCAGTTAATTCGACATATATTAAACCAATAGCTGAGTTAAAACCGATGAATACCATAAAAACTATAAATCCTCCAAAGACAACAATCCAACCATAGCCGCCATTTGGAACAAGTTGTCTAGTTGAAGCTTTAGCAACGTTTTCCTTTTTAATATTCAAAAGTATTTAAAATTATCTAGATTGAAGGAAAAGTAATGGACAAAAATTTATGGCACACTCTTGAAAAATAAAAGATATAAAACACAATATATTATATCAATGAGAAAATATGTTATCTGAGATCCAATTACGGCATCCTGTCCTTTATTCATTCATTTTTGGACCAAAATATCAAATGATGCCACATTCGTCATATTATAATCCGCGTACTAATGACTACAAGACCGAGATAAAAGATATGTTACCATTAATGATATTTCTATTGCCCCTCAACCTCAACGTAAACAGCGAACAATTTCAATTGGGCAATAATTTCAATCTTAATTATTCATCTTTTTTATTATTTTCTCAAACTGTATAAGGGGAAAACATTTAACATAAAAGGTTAAGATAAAAAAAAACGATTAAAGTGAATATGAAATCCTTCGACCTTATGACTACTAAATACGAACTAAGGCATCTGATTTGTGCATAAATTGTGTGTCTAAGACCAAAGAAATTGTTTCTTCAACTACAAAACTACAAATTCATGAAGATCGCAAATCGACGTATGTAATTTTTTGGGGGATGCTCGACATACCCCCTCCATTGATAATGTCTATACATAGCATGTTAACAAGTGTTAACATTTTGTTATTTGCACGATGCAAAAATCACCACTGTATTAACTAAGCAATATCTAGTTAAAATATAGAACTCTGATTTCGCTATCTCTCTTATGGAGAAAACGACATCAGAGTTCTATATTTCAATTACTAGTAGATTGTTATAGAACTAAATGAACACTCAGGGAAGCGTTATGATTTAAACAAATATATAAATGGTGCTTCACACATCAATAAGCTGGACATTGTGATGTATTTAACCTGATCCCTTTTACTCGTAGTTAAATAATTTTATCTCATTAAATGAAAGTGTAAAATGAAATCTTGTTTTAGTCACATCTACAGTATTTGTTGATTCTTTCTTGGAAAACAGTCAAATTTCTCGCAAGTAAAATCAAGATGATGGAATATATGTATACACGTTACAGAGATGTATGATGATAACGTGTTGAAGTTCAACTTGATCCATTCATTATCACATACATGTACAAGAATCTCTGGAAATTTATACATTTGGTCTATTACAAAACATATCGTTTGAGATACTACAAAATTAGAATGCGAGTTATTATTTTATAATGCAGATAACACAATTACATTTAATTTACCTTCTCTGTAAGCGTCATAGAGAATTGTTTATTCTCTGTTTTCAAAGTAACAATATGAAGTAGTACACCAGCATCTTTCCTGTTAAATACTATTTTGCTACGTAGAAAATATCTGGTTTACACCAGATTTTTCTAGAGCTGATTTACATGAAAAGAAAAGTGTGAATCAGAACAATAATTTTTAGCATGAACATGCATTAATTTTACCGAATGCATTTTTAAAGACAATAAACAAATACATTATCAAGTAAAAAGGATACGTCCCATTGAAACATGCTTAATTACAGATATACAACTGATATTTTCAGACTACAATAGAGAAATACTTTCTTGTTATAAATGTAAAACGGTCAAGATTGTTTTTTAATGGGTTACCATCTTGAATAAGAGTTATTTTTAAACCACAAGTTATCGGTTAAGATATGTAATTTGAAATGTACATGCAAGATCATATCGTTTAAATGATGTTTTCAATATTTAAAAGGCCTGAATATTCATTAGTGGTGTTTGCCAAACGTAAAAAAAAAAACATACTTGCAAAATTAAATTTCTGTCTTTCTAATATAGTTTTCCAAATATTTAGTAAAACTCTAAAATTAGTAAAAATATCATCATTTAAGGCCAACAATTCTTATAACGAGCTGTTTATTGAAGATTTCACTCATTTTCACTTATTTGATCAGTAGATCTTCTTTTGCTTTAAATTCATTATGGACGTCTCGTTCCGATATGGCCGTTTTGCGCGGCCCAAGCGACGTTTAGCAGTTCAATCAAACAGTTTACCTAATCAATAGTTTTGCTGGTCGTGTTAAAAGCAATAGCCAAAAATGTCAAAACACATGTATGGTCAAAATCATCATTAAAGATCAATAACTCATAAAATCAACAATTTCAACCATTTGACTTCTTTCTCGGCTGAATTTTTTAGGATCATTCTTTACTTAACTGTTTTCGAGGTATTATGTAAACAACTAAAACTGAAAAATAATTATCAAATTGTAAGGGCTCTTATTTATACTCTTATCGGGATTAAGGGTCAATAACTCCAGTAAGGTTTCGATTTACGATTTCAATCCGTATCGTGTTGACTTATTTTTAGATCATATATTGCTGATAATTTTGCTGTTTAAACTTCTGTTTATCTATATATTTTTCAACATTTACAAAAAACAAATCTTTTGTTCCATCATATAACTATATAGGTATTGGTAAAGTTTTATATACCAGACTTCGCACTGAGAGTAGTTACTCAGAAAGATCATTTATTCAAATATAATCTAGAAACATGCAGATCCTTATTGTCATTGTTCAAAAGTGGAATCGCTTTGCATAAAGCATGCTTTGTTTCAATACCGTTTTAATGCATATTTCTACTCAACATTTCAATAAAGTTCTGTGTATTTTCATTATTAGCCAAAAATAATTAAGTCTTTATATCTATTGTCAAGCAGTGAGCCAGGAAACCAAACTGAATAAAGTCTATGTATCTACTGTCAAGCAGTGAGCCAGGATACCTGACTAAATAAATAAAATGGAGAATGGAAATGGAGAATGTAGCAAAGAGACAACAACCCGACCAAAGATCAGAAAACAGCCCAAGGTCACCAATGGGTCTTCAAGAAAATAGAAGTAAGCTCAGAGGAAAACGAAGATGAAGACTGTACTCATACTTATGATACTTCTAAAGTTCAAATTCACGATACATGCTATACCGAAGAAGTTTCGCATGCCACCGATCTATTACATTTATTTTTGAAAGGAGATGCGACTTTGACAATTAATCAAAGTAATGAATTGCACATTATAAGAGATAAAATAGAACAATTTCGACAGTCGCGATCGAAGCATAGAACAGCAAAGCTTTGGTTTCAGTATATGGACATGATATGCATCCTCCGAGATTTTATAAAGGCAGAGAGAACTGGTAATTGGCATTTACATTTGGAATCCCTCAAGGCTAGTATGCTACCATACTTTACAGTTTCTGGCCACAGTCTTTATGCAAAGTCTGCATGGATTTATCTTAACCAAATGGAATGTCTCAAGGAACAAAATGCAGAAGTAGCAGCTCTATTTAAAGAAGGATACCATGTGTTCAGACGAACAGATCAATATTGGGCAGGTATTTCATCTGATTTGGCTATTGAGCAAGCTTTAATGCGAAGCATTAAGACTACAGGAGGGCTTATCAGATGACGAGGTATGAGTGAAAGTCAGAGAGCACTCTGGATTTTATCTATGCCTGATTGTACTGAGGTAAATAATGCAATGATGTCATTTACAGGGACAAAATTCTATTCATCGGATCAACTTCTTACTTATGTGTCAATAATACACAAGACTAAATACTAATCAACACTATTTAATATTTGCTAACCTTGTTTGGAAGCAAGTAATAAATAGATTGCTATGTTTGGGAACCCTAACATATCTTATACTGTATATTGTTACAACTTTTTGATTGTACAAGAATTTCTTTAGCCTGGGATCCTAGCTCACTGCTTGACAGTCTGAATCATAGACTTTATTTAGCCTGGTATCATGGCTCACTGCTTGAGAGTAGATATATAGACTTTATTTAGCCTGGGATCCTAATTCACTGCTTGACAGTAGATATATAGACATTATTTAGTCTGGTTTCCTGGCTCACTGCTTGGCAGTTGATATATAGACTTTATTTAGTCTGGGATCCTGGCTCACTGCTTGGCAGTTGATATATAGACTTTATTTAGCCTGGGATCCTGGCTCACTGTTTGACAGTTGATATATAGACTTTATTTAGCCTGTCTCCTTGCTCGCTGCTTGGCAGTTGATATATAGACTTTATTTAGCCTTGGATCCTGGCTCACTGTTTGACAGTCTGAATCATAGACTTTATTTAGCCTGGTATCCTGGCTCACTGCTTGACAGTAGATATATAGACTTTATTTAGCCTGGGATCCTGACTCACTGCTTGACAGTAGATATATAGACTTTATTTATCCTGTCTCCTGGCTCACTGCTTGACAGCAGATATATAGACTGTATTTAGCCTGTCTGCTAGCTCACTGCTTGACAGTTGATATATAGACTTTATTTAGTCTGGTTTCCTGGCTCACTGCTTGGCAGTTGATATATAGACTTTATTTAGCCTGGGATCCTGGCTCACTGTTTGACAGTCTGAATCATAGACTTTATTTAGCCTGGTATCCTGGTTCATTGCTTGACAGTCTGAATCATAGACTTTATTTAGCCTGTCTCCTGGCTCACTGCTTGACAGTAGATATATAGACTTTATTTAGCCTGTCTCCTGGCTCACTGCTTGACAGTTGATATATAGACTTTATTTAGTCTGGTTTCCTGGCTCACTGCTTGACAGTTGATATATAGACTTAACTGCACTTGACTTTTTACTAGAAAACATTTTTGTTCGCTATGGAGATTCCGTATATAATCAAGTTATCGGAATTCCAATGGGGACTAACTGTGCACCACTTATTGTGAACCTGTATCTGTATTGTTATGAGTTACAATTTATGACTGAAATCAGCAAAGACCCTTCGAAACAACATCTAATACAAAAATTTTATAACACTTTTAGATATTTGGATGATATATTGGCTCTCAATAATGACGACTTCAGTATGTACAATTAAGAGATTTATCCTGCTGAACTGACTTTAAATAAAGCTAATACTAACAATGAACACTGCCCTTTCCTGGATATAAGAAACTTTTGGCTCGTGTATCATGCATCAGTGGTATTGTGTTGTGTTGTGTTGTAATTGTAATAAATATTTTATTACTATGTCGTCATACTCATTGTGTCTCGTTTCCTTCTAGACTTTTTTATTCTTTTATTTTTTCAATTACTTTTCAAGTATCCATCTTGTGTTGACCAATTTTGTAAAACTATTTTATGATTGGAAAGAGTTTTTTAACATCTTATCTACTTGTTTTCCTTTTACCGAGGGAATTGTATTTTGTATGGATATATATGCATTTCTAAATTTCAAAAATATTGCTTACACCAAGATATGATAAGTTAAAATCACTGAAATTGGCCAACAACAGTAATGTTGGACTGTTATAAAGAGTATATTGACGATTTCGATTTCGATTCATTTATAGACCTTCTAAGTTTTTTTTTTGCCAGAATCTATCTATTTGTGATATTTAGTAAGATAACAGGAAACTTGAAAGGCAAAAAAAAAAAATAGTAAAATTATGATAAGGGAGCTACCATTTGATTTTTATGGGGAGGCTAGGATGAAATTTAATAAATAAAAAAAGGCAGGACAGGAGTTTTGAGCAAAAAAAAAAGCAGGATGAGCAACTTGGCAAAAAAAAAAAAAGGCAGAATGACATTTATGTAAAAAAGTCAGGATAAACTAATAAAAAAGGGCAGGACCGAATAGAGTGAAAAATAAAAAGGCAAGACAGAGATTATAACTTAAAAAAAATGCAGAACAAAATTTGTCATCCTAGCTCCCCCAAAAAAATCAAATGGTAGCTCCCTAAAGGGCAAAAATTTCTACAAGGAGTCGATTAAGGATTTCAATCATACTGACTCAGTAGATCGCTCACTAATTTGTAAATCTTGTATTGCTTGTCATTTTTTTCCATAAAAAAAACAAAAAAAACCACTAAAGATTACCCAGAAATGCAGTGGTGCTATTAAAAAATGCACAGTATCGCCAATTTTCTGGATGAGAGCGGGACTGTACGTCTTATTTTGGCAACATATAACATTTTCGTAACTCCAGTTTGAAGATGACCAAAGTAAACACAAGCACGTGTTTATATTCTATTTATATAAAAAAAAAGTTATATAACTGTATAAATTTAACAATGAATTGAAATCTCGTTGAGATTTCTCCAGAAAAGAACTGGAGGCAATGTTGTGTTGCGAGAGTAAGAACGGGTTTCACAAAGAGGTAATCACTGGACAAGCTGCAACTTATAGCATGTCTGAGAAAGTTTTGTGTTGTAGAAAAATCACATGTCTGCATGTACCAAAACTTGTTATATATTAAAAAGAACCAGTTTTGACATTAGTTTATCTATAAGTAAAGAAATTAAACTAAATGTAAGATATGTAGTAACGGGAGAACATTAGGACTTTTGTTCTAAAAAATGGCAATTATTTTACATAAGTTATCACAGTTTATCATGTTTATATAAATATTGTAACTGTTATAAAACGTTGTGTTACATAAGGGGTTTCACGGAGAAGTGATTTTCTAGATAATAATGATAGAAACCTAATGATATGAGGTTGGTCAGTTGTAAACTGGAAAGTAAGTTAGAAATTCAGAGAAATCACCTAAATAGAAAGAGTTCTTTGGATTAATTCTCCTCAGTGATTCAGAGAAAATACCTAAATAGAAAGAGTTCTTTGGATTAATTCTCCTCAGTGATTTATGTAAGTAGTGTAAAAAGTGATAATGTTCCAGATTTTTGCCCTATTATCATGATTATGGGTATTATTTGAATCTGGAATAATTTTGAATTCTGGAAAATTGATAAAAAAAGTATAATGAAAACTAACCAAACTAAAGAGAGTTAGGCTAAGCCATGTGCGCATGGCTAGCCTAACGTTCACGTTACTTTCATAGGAACTAACTAACCCCCCTTAGCAATTTGCATGCATGGCTTAGTTAAACCCTATTTAAATGGGTTAGTTTTCATCATTCATTTCTTATCAATTTTCCAGAATTCAAAATGATTCCAGATTCAAATATTCCTTGTTTATTTGAGATAATCATGATAAACTTGTTACATCACTTACACAATGTTACATGTACAATGTATTTGGATGACAATAATATTGAAATCCTTGATGATAATGGATATTTATACATGTTGTATAATTTTGATCTGCAATAAAACAGTAAAAAAAATATTTACATATAATTAACTGGAAACTATAGGTTTTAACTATTAGCATATTTTATAGTCTGGGGATCCACTTGTGCAAGTAAAAAAATGTAAGAATCAAACTGAAATCTCTACCTTTGGTCTGCTAATATCATTATTATTTTAATTTGAGATACCCATGAAAGTAAATCTTATTTGTAGCGGTCTAACTGAATCTAGAATTGAAACCACAGGATGCACTTTCAAGCTGAAACACCGAGTAAAAATTCTGAAGAGAACACCAACCAAAGCATGAAAGTTTATTCATCAATAATTATTTTATCATAAAAAAAGATTTATCACAACTTACTGTTATCAAAGGCACTGTATATTTTGTCTAGAAACAATGAAAAGAGAAATTTTGATTTGAATCAATAATGCACCTTTGTGCTAAATTATTTAAGTTGTAACTCAAAAGATTGATACATTTGCTGAATCACCAAACACCTTAATTTCTCAGCTACATGAATGTGATTTTACTTCTACATATAAGGGTGATTCTGATTTTGGTAAGTAAACAGTCTGATTTACCTAAGTAAGATTGAATCTGACCTGCCCTGACTGTAATAGTTCATTGATCCTCATTTGGTTACAAGCAGATAAAAGACATGCATAGCTACCAGAGGCAATGTTAGAATTTATGATCAGTTAATTTTCATAATGTAACTACTAGATGAAACCAGAGACATATACTACACATGTCTCTGATGAAACCAAGAAAAACTGTACAATGTACATGTAATTTTGTTACTTGACATGTACAACATTAATAATACAAACTAATCATAGAATTGTACACTATTTATTTTTAATTTTAACTACCATGTGATTTGACAAACATTTATTTTAAATCATTTTTTATTAAACTGTTTCAGAAAGCATTTAAATGAACCAATGCTAACAGCAAAGACCGCAAGAACAGTGTCTTCGTTGGTAACAGTGGTCCTCCTAAGTAGAGTTCAAGTGATACAGACACCACGAATAGTCAGAAATCAGCATACAACTGATAAAAAAAGGTAGAAATTCTAATACAATATGACTCATCTGGACTACAATGTATACCATGTATACCCCTCAGCTTATTATAAATTCAACCAGTTTACTGATGTATCTCTGGCAAACTGGTGAAAATTGGATATGACATACATATGAGTAAGTTGAGACTACAATGTCATTATAAACTAAAAAAAAAAACAAAATATATCTTTCAAGCATCTTTCTTCTGGTTGTTCTTTATCTTTGCCCTTTGAGGGTCAAAACATACATGTATATAGATCTAGAAAACTCCTGTCTTATTTTGCGGTATTTTTTATACAGATTTCTGACAGAAAATTGATGCAAGTAACACAGAAATCTTTTTAGAATGATATAAAATAGAGTATAAAACTTGTGAATGCACTGTACTCATGGTACTCAAAACTCCCCCATGAATATATTGACCTTAGATGAATTTGGCTATTCTTTATAGGTTTCTGTTGGTTATATAACTTCTAACATTTCAGCATATTTATACATCCCTGGATTTCAAATGTTTAGGTCTGAGTGTTGCTGATGAAGGTAAATCCAGAAAAGTGCTTTACTCACACAAAATCTTTAAAATGTTATTTTCATTCAATAGATTTATTTTCTTTGGACTTGATATGTCAACCAGAAACAAGAATAATTTATTGGTTTTAATAATATGTAAGTCAAATAAAGTGTTACAATATTAATGGAAGTGTTATATAACTAGATAAATTGAGAGAGGCATTTCACAACTTAACCAGGCAAATTAAACAAACGTGGAAATCTTTAGGTCACTAGTATGGCCTTGAATAACAAGTGGTGTCTATAAGCCATTTGACAAGATTTTCTGTATATGTTCTAAATTATATACAAGTTATGAATATTAGTTCCACAGAGATGACAAAGAACTGACAACATGAAATTCATTAATGTGAACAAATAACACACAGAGACGGCAATTAATGAGATTCATGCTTTGCAGCCACATAAAATCTATTCTGTTTGTACCTGTTCTACTTGTTATACATAATCTTATATTTGAATATTATATTCTTTTCAGTGAAGTCTTAACAATGAACATACAAAAAGCAAAAGAAGAGACCCTGTGGGGTATGTTTATAGCTGATGCTTTGGCTATGCCAGTACACTGGTACTATAACCCTGAGGATATTAAAGATGGTTATGGAGGATGGCTGACAGGATACAGGGAACCAGAAAAAAACCACCCATCCAGTATACTTACTCTATCAGCAGTTGGTATGATCATGTGCCTTTAAGAAATATGTAAATGAAAGCAGAATATAACAAAAAGAGGTCTTCCCCTAAATGTTTTATTTTACAACATTGTATGGTTATTGTACATAGACAGCTACCCAACAACAGTAAACAACCAAATACACCAGAAAGACATCTAGCTTGTAAAGTTCAACAGACAAATTTCAACATTAGACACTTATTGTAGTAAATAAACCATTTTTTAAGACATTTAGGCCACTGGCCTTCTTCAGTTTCTCTATTATCCTTCTTAACTACATGCTAGACATTTTACTTTCACAATCATAAAATAAATTTAGAATGTGTCCATGGGATACAGATGATGCCTTGCTTGCATATTATGTTATAAAGGGACATAACTAGAGAACTGTTAAAGTAGCGCCATCCAAATTGGAACTTGATCTGTGTTTTATGGTAAAAAGCATTGTGTATAAGTTTCACAACATTTGGTTGAGGCAAACTAAAGTTGGAGAAAGGAAATGAAAAAGTCAGCAATTTTTCCATTTATAAAGGGGCATAACTGGCCTTCTTCAGTTTCTCTATTATCCTTCTTAACTACATGGTAGACATTTTACTTTCACAATCATTAAAAAAATTAAGAATGTGTCCATGGGACACAGATGATGCCTCGCTTGCATATAATGTTATAAAGAGACATAACTAGAGAACCTTAAAGTTGACGCCCCCCCAAAATCCGAAGTTAGTCTGTGTTCTGTGGTAATAAGCATTGTGTATAAGTTTCATAACATTTGATTGAGGCAAACTAAAGTTGGAGAAAGAAAACTAATTTTGGGATGTACATACGTACGTACAGACAGACGGACAAGGGCAACACTTAATCCACCCTCTGCCACGGCAAGGGCATAAAAATGGTTTATTTGCTACAAAAATGTAATATATGTTCCCTATTGGAATTTTGAAACAAGAAAATAAACACTTAGAAAAATCAGAAGATCTCCTCTTGGTAAAATTTCTAGATGAAAATTTGTTGTAAAACTAATTTTAAATTTTTATCATCATATTTAACCTTTCATGTTGCAGTTGTTAAATTGGAATCATAGTGACTGGTAATTACATACAACCATTTTTTTCTCTGGTACTATTTATTTATTTTAGCTTATTTAAACAAAATTTGTATATTTAGTGTGCTATATATTGTCTACATAAACCATTGTTGTGTGTAACATACATGAAATATTTGAATTTTTAGATGGGAGCGGCAGGAGTGGATGGGGCAGTAAAACAAAACCAGTAATTGGTCATGTGATTCTACACAATAAACTTAAATACTGGACCAGTAGGGATCAGTCTGTACATTATCACCAAGGTAATCTAAATGCTTGACCATCAGTGATCTATACATTAACATACACATACATACTGGACTAGTAGTGACCAGTCTATAAATCTATTGTCATAAATAAAATCACTCTGTTGGTTTTTTTTCATTTGATTTTTTTTCACATTTTGTCATGGCAGGTCTTTTATAGATGACTTTATGTTATAGGTTTTGCTCATTTTTGAAGGCCTCACTGTGACCTTTGGTTGCTTAAATCTGCTTAATTTGAACTCTGTTGCACAGATGTTTTCTATTTGGCAATCATACCATAATTCCTTCTTTATGTAAGTTTATATTTTTGGTGTACATTTCAGTATTTATATGTAAAGATTTACATGTCATCCTGAATATATAAAGATAAAAAGATGTGATATGATTGCCAACTCTCCACGAAAGACCAAATGATATAGAAGTAAGCAACTAACAGTTATGGTACAGCCTTCAACAATAAGCAAAACCAATACTGAATAGCAAGCTATAAAAGGCCCTAAAATGACAAACGATAAAATGTAATGTCCTAATTTATGTACAAAACAATAAATGAAAAAACAAATATGATATACAGCAACAAACAACTACTGATTTACGGGCTCCTGACTGGGGACAGGCACTTACTGAATGTGTCGGGTTTTAAACATGTTTGCGGGCACCTAACCCTTAGTTGACTCATCAGATTAATTGAAAGCACAAAAACAACTAACAAAAACACTAAAGACACAAAGTACAGATCTGAGAGTACTCACAGTTACAGAAAGCTAGTTCAAAGCCAATATTAGCTATAAAAAAATCATGTACCTAAGACTAAAACATCAATCAGTACCCATCCAAAATCCAATGGATTTAGTGTAAAGACATCATTAACCATGTTAACAGTTTAAAAAACATTATCTTGTGCAGTGCCAAAATATGGGTATCAGCAGAAAGTAGAACCATGAATTTTCATAGATTGCTTGCCTATCGATGCATGATGTGTTTACTACTAGGAACAAGAAATATTTGAATCTGGCATAATTTTGGATTTTGGTAAATTGATGCTAAGGGAGTCTCTTATTTCAAACTGAACTATCAGTGAAAGTAATCTGAACCTTAGGCATGAGTGCCCTCAATAATTGGTTTGAATCATACTTTTCTTACCAATGGGCTCAGTTTTTGCTTAACTGAAGCAAGCAGACATTTGCAACTCTATTAAATCAGAATTCAGATTGAAGTAGGTTTATTTATAAATCAATTTAAGCATTTTTTTCAACGATTATTGGTCATCAAAAATCAAAAGTGTAATTTCAGGTATGAAAGCAGGGGACAGCACTCTAAACAGTTTGACAGCTTTAGAGTGTTTAAAGACTATGTCAAGAGTGGATCCTAATTCCATTATGCCATCACGTGATTTACGAGGCATGGTTTTGGAGGACTATGTAAAGTTTATGACTACACCTGGTACACATAATGACACCTATGCAGAATCTTTCCACAGATCATTCTTCAAAGACTGGGTTTTAGAGAATCAGCCCCCTAAAACTGCAGAAGATCTTTTAGTATGGACTGAAAACAGGTATAACTAACCAACCATCTTAAATATACAGTAAAAAACAGGTAAAACTAACCAACCATCTGAAATATACAGTAAAAAATATGTAAACTAACCAACCATCTTAAATATACAGTAAAAAACAGGTAAAACTAACCAACCATCTTAAATATACAATAAAAAATAATATTAATTCAGAAATGTCGTGTGCATTTATTATAGCAATTGTTGAACAATGGACAAAATTGGGAGATTAAAAATTATTATAATTTTTGGGAAAACTGTTGCAAAGGAGAACGAACTGACAAAGGCCATGGAAAAAAATGAGATACAACTGCAAACAAACAACAGTATACAAAACACAACATTGAAAACTAAAGACTGAGCAACGTGAATGCCACCAAAATCCGGGGGTGACTTATTGCTATCAAAATTTAAAGTTTTTTATGGCCCGCCACAAAGTGGTCTAGCCATATAGTTTTACCCTTATCCGTCATTCCCTTATTCTGTCATTTCGCAATGAACAGTTATACAGACTTTTTTTCTAAATGCCCTCACATATTGACACATGGACACATTCTCCATTTATTTTCTAATCCCCTGATTTGTACCGAAATTAGGGGCTTGGGATTTCGCAAAAATAACAGTTATACAGACTTTCATTCTCAAACTTCCACTCCTAAAAATGGCTTCAAGCTTTTTTTGTGAGCTGGGCCATTCATATTGCTCAGACACATCTAGTTTCTCACTAAATCAACATTGTTGCAATTTTTCTACAAAATGTGAAAATTGCAATGATTTCTGAATTTACAATATTGCATCCTCTGTTTTTACACATCTTTCAGGGTTATCTCCAGTGGGCATCAGAACCCAGGTCCTGAGATAGTAACTTTTTATACGACCGCAAAAATTGAAAATTTTTTGGTCGTATATTGGTATGACGTTGGCGTCGTCGTCGTCGTCGTCGTCGTCGTCGTCGTCCGGCGTCGTCCGGCGTCGTCCGAAGACACATTGGTTTTCGCACTCTAACTTTAGTTTAAGTGAATGGATCTCCATGAAATTTTACCATAAGGTTCAATACCACGAAAGGAAGGTGGGGATTGATTTTGGGGGTTATGGTACCAACAGTTAAGGAATTAGGGGCCAAAAAGGGGCCAAATATAAGCATTTTTGTAACTTCCAGACAATAACTTGTGTGTAAGTGTATGGATCTCTCTGACATTGTACCACAAGGTTCCATATCACAAAGGGAAGGCTGTAATTGATTTTGGGGGTAATTGCCTCAAAATTTTAGGAATTAGGGGCCAAAAAAGGGGCAAAAAACAAGCATTTTTCTAGTTTCATGACAATAACTTGTGTGTAAGTGTTTGGATATTTCTGAAATTGTACTACAAGGTTCCATATCACAAAGGGAAAGCTGGAATTGAGTTTGGGGGTAATTGTCCGAAACGTTTAGGAATTGGGGGCCAAAAAGGGGCCAAAAATAAGCATTTTTCTAGTTTCCAGACAATAACTTGTGTTCAAGTGTATGGATCTCTCTGAAATTGTACTGCAAGGTACCATACCACAAAGGGAAGGCTGGGATTGAGTTTGGGGGTGATGAATCATAAGGGGGTTCAAAAAATTTGGGGGGGGGGGATTTTTTTTTTTCTTTTTTTTTCTTTTTTTCCTTTTTTTTTCCTTTTAAAATTTTCCATTTTAAGTTGGTTATTTCTGATTAATATTTAAAAGCAAATAATAATGATATGGTAGGAGATACACACCAAACAGGATGTGTAGATTATTATATAATAAGTATTGTGCAATAGCAAGAAATTTTCAATTGCACAGTATTGCACAATTGCAAGAAATCTTCAATTGCACAGTATTGCGCAATAGCAAGAAATCTTCAATTGCACAGTATTGCGCAATAGCAAGAAATATCCAATAGCACAATATTGCGCAATAGCAAGAAATTGTCAATTGTACAGTATTGCACAATAGCAAGAAATATTCAATTGCACAGTATTGTGCAAAAGAAGATACTTCGTATAAATTGCTTATTTCTTGATCAATTTCAATGGGGTTTTATTCTTGAATTCTTGGGGTTCTTTAATATGCTGAATCTAACCGTGTATTAAGTTTTTGGATTTTGGGCCCCGTTTTTAAATTGGTCCACATTGAGGTCCAAAGGGTCCAAAATTAAACTTTGTTTGATTTCATCAAAAATTGAATTATTGGGGTTCTTTGATATGCCGAATCTAACCGTGTATTTAGATTCTTAATTTTTGGTTCCGTTTTCAAATTGGTCTACATTAAGGTCAAAAGGGTCCAAAATTAAACTTAGTTTGATTTTAACAAAAATTGAATTTTTAGGGTACTTTGATATGCTGAATCTAAACATGTATTTAGATTTTTGATTATGGGCCCAGTTTTCAAGTTGGTCCAAATCGGGGTCCAAAATTAAACTTTGTTTGATTTCAACAAAAATTGAATATATGGGGTTCTTTGATATGCTGAATCTAACCATGTATTTAGATTTTTGATTTTTGGGCCCTGTTATCAACTTTGTCCACATTGAGGTCAAAAGGGTCCAAAATTAAACTTTGTTTGATTTCATCAAAAATTGAATTCTTGGGGTTCTTTGATATGCTGAATCTAACCATGTATTTAGATTTTTTATTTGTGGACCCGCTATCAAATTGGTTCATATTGAGGTCAAAAGGGTCCAAAATTAAACTTTGTTTGATTTCATCAAAAATTAAATTATTGGGGTTCTTTGATATGCCAAATCTAACCGTGTATTTAGATTTTTAATTTTGGGTCCCGTTTTTTAAATTGGTCTACATTAAGGTCCAAAGGGTCCAAAATTAAACTTAGTTTGATTTTAACAAAAATTGAATTTTTGGGTTCTTTGATATGCTGAATCTAAACATGTGTTTAGATTTTTGATTATGGGACCAGTTTTCAAGTTGGTCCAAGTTGGGGTCCAAAATTAAACTTTGTTTGATTTCAACAAAAATTGAATATATGGGGTTCTTTGATATGCTGAATCTAAACATGTATTTAGATTTTAGATTTTTGGCCCAGTTTTCAAGTTGGTCCAAATTGGGGTCCAAAATTAAACTTTGTTTGATTTCAACAAAAATTGAATATATGGGGTTCTTTGATATGCTGAATCTTACCATGTATTTAGATTTTTTATTTTGTGGGCCTGCTATCAAATTGGTTCATATTGAGGTCAAAAGGGTCCAAAATTAAACTTTGTTTGATTTCATCAAAAATTGGATTATTGGGGTTCTTTGATATGCCAAATCTAACCGTGTTTTTAGATTTTTAATTTTGGGTCCCGTTTTTTAAATTGGTCTACATTAAGGTCCAAAGGGTCCAAAATTAAACTTAGTTTGATTTTAACAAAAATTGAATTCTTGGGGTACTTTGATATGCTGAATCTAAACATGTGTTTAGATTTTTGATTATGGGACCAGTTTTCAAGTTTGTCCAAGTTGGGGTCCAAAATTAAACTTTGTTTGATTTCAACAAAAATTGAATATATGGGGTTCTTTGATATGCTGAATCTAACCATGTATTTTGATTTTGGACATTGGACCATAATAGGTAAATTAAAAAAATTGAAGTTCTTAGACCACATTCTTTCTGTGTCAGAAACCTTTGCTGTGTCAAATATTTAATCACAATCCAAATTCAGAGCTGTATCAAGCTTGAATGTTGTGTCCATACTTGCCCCAACTGTTCAGGGTTCGACCTCTGCGGTCGTATCAAGCTGCGCCCAGCGAAGCATTTTATTTTATGGAGGTGCAATATCTCTCAGCATCATGTTAAAGTTTTTGATAATGTGACATATCCTTTGTCACATGACCAATATGTTATTTGCTCCTGGCAAAATAGGAATGATTATCTTACAAAATGTACTTAATTTCCCATAAGAAATTATACATACAAGTTTTGTTTCATAAAATATATATTAAATATACAATTAAAATGTTCTTGAATTTTTTTTCATATCTTATATATACATGATATATATATTTGACAACTAAATTTTTGCGGCTGTATAATGGTATGTTGTTGTCGTCTTCAAAGTCATCGTCGTCTGAAAACATTTGGTTTCTATACACTTAACTTGAGTATAAGTGTATTGATCTCTATGAAATTGTACCACAAGGTTCCATACCACAAAAGGAAGGTAGGGATTGATTTTGAGGGTAATTGTCTTAACTGTGTAGGAATTAGGGGCCAAATACAAGCATATTACTTGTTTCTGGACAATAACTTGTGTACCGGTATACTGTAAATTCAGAAGTTATTGCGTGCATTTATTATTGCGATTTTGTCATTTTAGACTAAAATGTGATTCTAATTTTTGCGATATTGAGAACAATCCTGTTTAATTCATATAAGATATTTCAAAGTGTGAGTTTAAATTATTGCGATTATAACCCTGTCGCATTTTTCGCAATAATAAAAACATCGCAATAATTTTCAGTAAGTGTATGGATCTCTATGAAATTGTATCACAGGGTTCCATACCTCAAAAGGAAGGTTGGTATATATATTGATTTTGGGAGTTATGGCACTAACTGTTTAGGAGTTTGGGGCCAAAAAACAAAGATTTTCTGGTTTCTGAACAATAACTTATGTATAAGTCTATGAATCTCTATGAAATTGTACTTCAAGGTTCCATACCAAAAAAGGAAGGTTGGGATTTATTTTGGGTGTTATGGCCCTAACCGCTTAGGAAAATTGAGCCCAAAACAACACATTTCTTATACTTTGTATAAATTGCTTATTTCGTGACAAATTTCAATGGGGTTTTAATTCATAGTCTTGAATTCTTGTGGTTCTTTGATATGCTGAATCTAACCATGTATTTAGATTTTTGTTTTTGGGCTCAGTTTTAAAGTTGGTTCAAATCAGGGTCCAAAATTAAACTTTTGTATGATTTCAACAAAAATTTAATATATGGGGTTCTTTGATATGCTGAATGTAACCATGTATTTGGATATTGGACCATAATAGGTAAA